GCTCTTCCATTTTTCTTCGTAACGCGGTAATTTTCAACTGAGGTCACGATCAGAAGTCTGAGAAAACTTTGGCTCATTAGTTTTTAGCTAAACTTTATTCAAGTAAAAGTTTACTCCAAATGCATCGGTTTAATGAACTGCCTTCAAAGCCACAGTTACTCGTAAATAAAATGAACTCTGAAGTTACCATTGAAACCCATCTCAGAGCTGACTTTTCTGCAACTGGAGTACTTGCTATAGATAGAAACACAGAACTGTATAAATAGGGATGAAAAATTATTTTAAACAAAACAGAAAAGATTCTGCCTTTTCATAGAATATTTCAAATACTTATTTATGCTGTATTTTAATATCTCGAACCCTCAATGTTAATGTTGAAGTACAGTTAGCTAAGGAACGCTCACATTTCTTCTAGTCCATAAACAGGTCAGTTCAAATCAGAGCTGTAGCTTGCAGTTCGCAGGGAGCTTAGGAGATGCTTCCCATTCCTCTTATTTCGCAAAAAAACCCCAACATTTCCAGTTGCTTCAGGATAAGAATAATTTTTATTAAGAAACAGCCCAGCTTAGTTTGAGAAATCCCAGATTATTTTCAGAAACTCAGTGGATGGTTTTCAGAAACTCCCCAAACGGATTCTGCATCAAGGCAGTTCAGCAAGGGAAGACCAAGGGGCAACAGCCCCACACTGGCAAACCACACACTGTGGGAACTGGGAAGCAAGACTGATATCCACAGGAGGATTAAGATATTTTAGAAGCATCATTGTTCAGGAGCAAAAAGCAGCAAAGCAAACCAGGGAAGAAAGCTCCGGGTGTTCACAGCTAACCCTGTCAGAAAGAGGAACTTGTGAGAAACCGGAATGGGTGTGAAATTCAAGGCGGCTGCAGTTTGGAAAACATTCAAAGAGGAAGAAACAGTAACAGAGTAAAAATGTGACCCAAAAGAACAACCAGATAGCGGCATAACTACCCAATGCCTGGAGAAATGACCGGATAGTGGCATAACTACCCGATACCTGGAGAAACGGGTTTATTTAGCTATATTATAACAGAATAACTTTTAAAAAGCCAGAGTGGAGAACTGGGGCAAGAATGGAAGAAAAAGACATACCAAAAATAATTAAATGCAAAGAACATAGGTAAGATGGGAAAAGAGAAAACAGGAACAATATTTATATATATAAAATAAAAAATATAAATATATATATATATAAGAATAAAGCCCCCCACCTGGCCACAACCCTGACACTGACAGCACTCTATGGAAGAACATAAACAGCATATAGCTGAAAGAGCAAATTGAAAGACAAAACCAGAAAGACTCAGCACATTAAATCGTGCAGCTGGGCGATGGGGGGATGAAGACAGCTTCAAGTATGTGTAAAGCAAGCCAAATTTCTGTTGAGGTTCTGCACCTAAGACTTTAGGAAAGGGGAAAAGGCCAAAGGCAGCTACTCCTGATGCAGGTGACATGCCCAGGGAATTCACTGAATTAACCTACCGTGCTCCAGGTAAGGAGTCCACACCATTCAGTGCAGCGACAAAGGCCACGCCAGATGGAGAGAAACCGCTGCTTTAATGGGAGGAACAAGGGACACAGTGCAAAGCAAGAGGCCTACAGCCTGTTAGGGTGCAAAACCAACATAAAAGGACAACAATAGGTTTTACTGATCTCTGCCTAACGATTTCCCTAAACCCTCCAACCTATTCCAAACATTGTCTAGAAGTCAAGAAGGGAGTGAGCTGCATGACACCATCTCCGCTATCCTCTCCATTCTCACCCCACGGCCTCAGCAGGAGCGCGGGTTGGTGGCTGAAGTCCAGGCTGAGAGATTGGACATCCTGGGCTAAACGCGCTTTGTCAGTCTTGTTAAAACATCTTG